ACAAAGTGATAAAAAAATAATGTTTATTAAAAAAAACACATACTGTATGATTCCACTTATGTGAAGTCTGTGACTAGACAAAAAAAATCTACGGTATCTGAAATTCATAGTCAGAAAGTAGTTGCTTTAGAGAAGGGAGGGTCAAGATGGGTGTAGCAGCATATACCTGTATATAGGGTAATAATGTCTATCTCATTCTAGCATCCTTCTCACCCCCACAGCCCCACCCCTTATTCCCTTCTACTCAAACCAAAGTTCCTTTATTCTTCCCTATCCCTGCCACTCCTTCCCCACTATGGATCAGCATCCAATTATCAGAGAAAATATTCGGCTTTTGTTTTTTTGGGGTTGGCTTATTTCACTTAGCATGATATTCTCTAGTTCTATCCATTTACCTGCAAATGCCATAATTTCATTCTTCTTTAAGGCTAATATTCCATTGTGTATATGTATCACATTTTCTTTATTCATTCATCTGTTGAAGAGCACCTAGGTTGTTTCCATAGTTTAGCTATTGTGAATTGAGTTTGCTGTAAACATTGATGTGGCTGCATCACTATAGTATGCTGCTTTTAAGTCCTTTGGGTATAAACCAAGGAGTGGGATAGCTGGGTCAAATGGTGGATCCACTCCAAGTTTTCTGAGGCATCTCCAAACTGCTTTCCACATAAACTGTGTTAATTATATCTCAATAACTACTACAAATTATGGACTGAGATATGGCAAAATGATAAGGCACTTAACTGGCTCTGGGTTTGAGGCTTGGCACATGAAAGGAAATATATATATAAATTTGAAAAAACTAAAAATACAGAGTAGTACTCTACTTTAAGATATAGGTTAAAATTTTGTTTCAAATGAAATTCTAGAATACCACACAGGCACTTTCAATTATTTGCCACTTTGAATTATTCACAACTCTATTCCTTCATTCCTATAAAAACTATTAATAGAGTACAGAGGCAGATGTTTAGGGCTGGGGCTGAGGCTCAGGGGTAGCGCACTTGCCTGGCATGTGTGAGACACTGGGTTTGATTCTCAGCACCACATATTAAGTAAAATAAAGATCTATCAACAACTAAAAAAAATTTTTTTAAAAAGGGTGTATATTTATATATTTAATTTTTCATAAATAGCAAATTGGACTTGATTCTTTACAATTTTAACATGTACCTAATGGACCATTATAAGTTCAGTGGAATTTTCTGTTTTCTGTATCATTTTCCTCGCAATATGATTTTTTTACTTGTAAATTTAAAAGATCTGACAGAAAACTGAAAAGACACATAAATCAAATGTCAGCATGGAAGATCAATAACAGTGACAGTGCTTTAGCCATTATTACAACCTACAGAATAATGCCCTCAACTAATCTAATCAAGACAATACATGCATATTATACTTTAAGAGCCACTGAACCACAAAGAATACTTGCCAGCTAATTTAATTTTTAAAAGATAATGATAACACAGCCTAAATAACAATAGCCATGTACATCAACCTGACATGGGAAACCTATTAAAAATCCTTTTTTCTCCTGGCTTATTGAAGCTGTCCCCTTCCTTTACTGGTTTCTGCCAGATATATTTTTATCCCAACTTCCTCTCACCTTCCCTATAATTTGCTCAGATCTAATTGATTTTAATGTATCCAGCTCATTTCAGGTTTCAAATTAAATATACAAAATTATACTGTACTCTGTGTAGATATGTCATGTACACTAACAGTATATAGAGAAGGTAGCCTGAAGGAATAGAGAGACAATTACTAAACGGAAAAGACTGACTTCATTTGTTCCCCACCCACACAACTGGAAAAGATCTCTCCTGAATGAACACCTACCATACTTTTGTACTTCCTAGGAATAACTCCTACAAGTGCTTTGGACTATGAACAAGCACACATGCCTAACCCCAAAGAAAATAAGAACCCAGACAGGAATCATATTATATATGTGATATAATATGAATATATATGTATTCATATTACACACACACACACACACACACACACACACACACACATTCACCAAGGACCTAAAGACAGTGTCTGACAGATTGGGGTAAAACACATTTGATGAACTGGTGAATTACTGAGTTAATATGAGTGAAAACAACTGAGGGTGCAAGACAAGGAGAGGGGGAAAAAGCTGACGATACAGAAAGAAGGCAAGTGGGGCAAGAGGAGGAAAAAGGACAAAAAATGAAGAACAAAACTTTACACTGGCAACTGTCTATATCAGAGTGAATAATTTTTAAAAACTGAGTTGGAAAAGTCATGAATGTTTCTAATATCATAATTATCAGCACCAGTCTTTAAATTATCATTATAAACACCTTAAAATATCTTTAAAATTATCTCAACATTCTAATTATTCAAAGTGTGGTCTTTAGCAGCATCACCTATCAAACACACAGATTCTAGGGTCCCACTTTAATAGTACATGATCCTGGATGATGTATGCATTCTCAAGTTTGAAAACACCTCCCTATACCATTAAGATCCTTTCTCTTAATCAATCTGTGTTTTATTTAAGTGGGCCAAAGATGAGAGGTGGAAAGAATCTTTTTTTTTTTTTTTTAGCATTTCTGAAATCAAACCCAAGGCCTCATATATGCTAGACAAGTGTTGTATAACTGAGTTACATCCTCAGCCCCTCCAAAAACCTTTGCTTAGAGCGAAACAATAATTGTAATTTGATCTATATGTATTTAACTTCAGGTGAAGTTATCAATTACAGAGTAATAGGCCTATTAGTCTACCACAAAGATTAAAGAAAATGAACAGTAGGTTAATAGCATCCTCAAGACTCAATTTTGTTCTGTCATGCCTAGTACAGGGCTTGGAATGATATATGTGGCCAATGTTTCCTGAATTAATAAAATAAATGATTTTTAAAAAAATCTAAAAAGGCTGGGATGGGCTGGACTTGGTGGTGCATGCCTAAGACAGGATGATGGCAAGTTTGAAGTCATCCTCTAATATTTGGTGAGGCCTTAAGTAACTTAGTGAGGACCTGTCTCAAGGTAAAAAACAAAAAGGGCTGGGAATGTAGCTCAATGGTAAAGCGCTCGTGGGTTAAATTCTTGGTTAAAAAATAATAATAAAACAAAAACAAAAACCTGGGGATAATTGTGGGGTCATATGGGCCATCAAACTCATTTTAAAGATGAACAAGCTGGATGTGGTGGGGCAGGCCTGTAATCCCAGCAGACTGGGAGACTGAGGTGGGAGGATCATAAGTCCAAAATCAGCCTCCACAATTTAAAATTTTAAACAATTTGGCCAGACCCTTTGTCAAAATAATTTTTTTTTTTAAAAAAAAGGGGGGTGGAGTGAGGATGTTAGCTCAGTGGTTGAGCACCCTGGGTTCAAACCCTAGTACCAAAATAAATAAATAAATAAATAAATAAAGAAGAACAAGCTAGAAATCCTGAGGAGTGCTAAAGCAAGAAAGCTACAAGAAGGGCTTGGGGTTGTGGCTCAACAGTAGAGCGCTTGCCTAGCACCCAGGCCCTGGGTTCAATACTCAGCACCACATAAAAATAAATAAATAAAATAAAAGTATTGTGTCAAACTACAACTAAAAAATAAATATTAACAACAACAACAAAAAAGCCAGAATGTACAGGAACTCACATTTTAATTCCCTTTTTGTTCCTCTGAAAGGACTGTTAGGGGATTCTAATTATTTTAATGACTGTGGGCTCTTAAAGAAGTGACAGGGTAAAAGGTGCTTAGGCTCCCAACTAGGTGGCACAAGCCCATAAGAGACTGGGAAGGCTGAGGTTGGAGGATATCAAGTTCAAAATCAACCTGGGCAATTTGGTGAGACCCAGTCTCAAAATAGAACTAAAAAAAGGCTGGGTATGTAACTTAGTAGTAGAGTGCCCCTGGATTCAATCTCCAGTATGCTTGTATTGGCAGGGCTAGGTTAGTAGGATTAGAAAGAAGAAACTAACAAAAGTGAGCCCGAGCAAAACTTTTTCCAAGACTAATATAAATTTCTGATAGGCCAATTCATTAATCAATTTAATCTGCCAAAAACTTAATCTGAAGGGTTCTCAGAATAAGAAACACGAGCTGCACGAAAACGTTACAATCCAAAGGAGACTGCACATAAGTAATTTAAATCTCCACAGGTTTATTTCCTCTTTAAATGTGACTTCCTGGGATAAGTTTTACTGCATGGTTTTTGATTTTAAGAAAAGACAAGAGCAAGTTGAAACGCTATTTTTAACTAAACATTAAAAAAAAAAAAGGAAAGAAATTAGGAGGAAAAAAAGACACTGCGGCTGTTTCCCATTTCTGTTTGTAATCAGAATGCAGGCTTGCGGAAGAAATACACCAACTTCTGTAAGCAAAAATATAACGTTTCAGTCACGTCCTCAAAACAAACCAGCACACGAACTTCACAGCCGGACCCAGCTGTGCTGCACAAGAGCCAAGAATTTATTCTAAGACAGAACAGATCAAAACTATGAATGCAAGACGAGCCAGATTTCAATCACAAAAGGGTGTGCCCCAAGTCTGTCTGATTTTTGTTTTTCCTCCTATTTTCAACAAGCAGAAGTCTTTGAAGGAGTCTTGGAGAGAAAATCCTTTAAATTTCTAGTCCCCAAGTCTCGCCCGGATGGAGAGGGGTGGGGGGGAAGCACCGTGGGGCTCAAGAGCGTCACCGAGTGGCCAGCGACGGCTCCGCGGGAGAAGGGGCAGGTCCCCAACCGGAGGAGGCCGAGCCCGGAGTGATTCATCAGCTACTCGGGCTTCGCGCGCCTCAACCCGCGGGCGACGCCCAGCGCACCCCACCACCCTACAGCGGTCAGTTGGTTCGAAGCAGCCCCCAGCGTCCCTCTGCTCCCAGAAAGGGGTACGTAGGGAAGGAAACTGGAGACCGGCGACTGGAAAACACAAACTTTCCTTCTTCAGCCACCATGGCCGGTGCGACTCCCTGCCGCGCCCGCAGACGGACTTCCTGGAAAGCACCGGGCTAGGCTTACCTGACAGGCGTCCGCTGGAGCTGTCAACCTCCTTCACGGACCCGCGGGAACTGCCTTCGCACGCCGCTGTTGGATTCTCTGCAGCCGCCAGTCGGCCTGCGCTTGACTCCGAGGGAGTTGCCGGACCCACCCGCCCACTGCTCCCCCAACTCGACCGCGCTGTCGGTGCGGCTGGTTCCCCTCCGCCAGCGACACGCGTGCGCACTCCTGGTTCGCGGAGCATCCTGGGAATTGTAGTTCAAGCGAGAAGGGCGAGGCTCTGCTTAGACCCTGGTCTTTACAATGGGTCAGAGCGTTGGAAACCGCTGTGGATACCCAGGCCTAGTCCAGTGTGAGACAATGCTTTCCATTCGTGGAATTACCAACTCTCGACCCTCTGGAAGCTAGAAACCGCACCTAGAGGCTTTTTTGGTAATAGATTCCCTTTTCACTTTGACCTTTCATGGCAGGGCTTCTGTTGTGTCCTTGGTAACTAATGCAAGGACTTGACATCAATTCTTTAAACTTGTCATGAAAGACTGATGGAAAAGTAAACAAAACAAATAGAAGCTGAGGCCCTAAAGGGTCATAAGTCTGGTCATCTCAAGGGCGTGGTCACCCTTAGACATGCAAATAATGTCGCAGCTGTGACCACTATCTTCCTAAGCAGTTTCTGCACCATCCCATCCTCCCATTCCAGCTTCAAATTCTACAACAGGCAGTGGAGTTGGGTTGAAGCAACAGTTCATAATAGAGGATTGGGGCGGATTACACCTACTTCAGGAGTAGACAATCACCAAGAGTAATGCTCAGTTTCCATACACCTTTCAAGAATGCAGTCAACGAAGATGAGGACTGAAGTGCCTGCTGCAGGTACATTTCAGGTACACCCAGTGTATGGGAGTTGCCTAATGGTTAAATCTCTTCCTGGCATCTACTTCTCCTCAGAGCAGGGTTTACTCTGGGTTAAGTAAATACTTTGGAATTTCATGCAGTTGGCATCCACTAATTCCAACAATGAAGATCCCTGATGATTTGGGTTTTAAAGAAAAAAACCCTTGTAGTAAATACTTACAGAAGACTTGGCGTTCAATTTTGTAGCCATAGATCTTATTTTCTATAACATCTTAATATGAATCAGTTTTTTAAACCTTCCTGGAGATAATAGCTTTCTGAAAGTAATTTCCTACAGAGTTCAGGTTCACCTAAGATTTATTGAATACTTAACAGATACCAAGCAGGGTACCAGTATCTATAGCATCTCATTGAATCCTCCAAACTATCCTACAAAGAATAAATTAGTATCCTCCATTCCTACAAATGGGAAAACTAACTCAAAAAGTTAAATAATTTCTAAAAAAAATCACATAGCCAATAATTAACTGTAGATCCAGAAATGAAGCACAGGTATTCTGACTTAAATTCTAGCATGCCTTGTACTGCTGGTTAGACTGATGTGTCTCCTAAATCTCACCAAATTGTTTTAAGTAAGATAATATGTGACCACGTTCAAGAAACATGAAAAAAAATTCCCTAATACATTTCGGGGAAAATGGTACTCTGAATGGATATGATGAATGTTTGAATTCCCTTGATAGTTCTAGGTTTGATTCAAACTTATTCTGATTTACCAGCAAGTCTGCTATAAATTCCTACTACATGTTTGGGACACCACTCCTGGGGAAGCTGACAAAATGAAGAGTTGTAAGAAGCAAAGCAGCTGGTCATGGTGGTACACACCTGTAATCCTAGCAATTTGGGAGGCTGATGCAGGAGGATTGCAAGCTCAAGGCCAGCCTCAGCAATTTTGTGAGGTCCTAAGCAACTTAAAATAAAAAATAAAAAGGACTGGGGATATAGCTTAGTGGTAGAGCACCCCTGGATTCAATCCCCAGTATCCTCCTTCAAATACAGACACACACACACACACACACACATAAAGAAGCAGCAAAGCAGAGGCCCTTGGCATCCTGATATGGTTTATTCTAAGAAGAACTTCCCTCTACAATATGATTTCTTTTGCTTCATTCTTTGATCAGAGGAGGATTTTTTTTTTTTTGGTGGGGGGTACTGGGGATTGTACTATGTTGCCCACTATTTTTTTTTTTAATACATGACAGCCGTGGAAAGCATTACAATTCTTAATACACATATAGGGCACAATTTTTCATATCTCTGTATATAAAGTATGTTCACGCCAATTTATGTCTTTATACATGTACTTTGTTGTTTTTTTGCATTATAATTCTTTTTTTTAAGAAAGAAACTGAAGAAGATCTTTTTTTTTAAAGAGAAAGAATTTTAATATTTATTTATTTATTTATTTTTAGTTTTTGGCAGATACAACATCTTTGTTTGTATGTGGTGCTGAGGATTGAACCCGGGCCGCACGCATGCCAGGCAAGCGCGCTACTGCTTGAGCCACATCCCCAGCCCAGCATTACAATTCTTAATACACATATATACCACAATTTTTCGTATCTCTGTTTGTATATAAAGTATGTTGACACCCAGTTTACGTCTTCATACGTGTACTTTGTATAATGATGTCCATCACATTCCACCATCCTTGTTAATCCCTTGCCCCCTCCATTTCCCTCTCACCCCTCTTCCCTATCTAGAATTCATCTATTCCTCCCATGCTCTCCCTCCCTACCCCACTATGAATCAACCTCCTTATATCAGAGAAAACATTCTTGCCCACTGTTAACTATAGTTAGAAAATACAACTCTTGAAGAAGAAAAGGAAAAACCTGAATTTTTATTTACACAAATAAGTGGTAAGACTACTAAATGCCATTGATACATTAAAAAACTGTTTCCAAATATTTGCTTTCTTGAGGAACTGGCATCTCTACCCACTGCTATGTGGCTTGCAGCACTGCCCTTTTTGGCATTTTCAGGCTTGGCTGACTTAATGATAGGTTTTACCTTCCCTCTTTTAAACAAATGTCTTATTATAATCTCAAACCTTGCTTTAGCCACTGAAATGTAAGTGGAGGTGACAGTAGGATCATTCTGAGTAGAAGCTTTAAGAATGATTGCTGGTCTTTTTGTGCTACCCAGGAAGAGGTCCCTCTGGTGGCACTGCTCTTGATTCCCATTATAACTTAAAGGGACACTGTCACAATGTCTGGAGCCCTTGACATCCTGCAAATGAAAGAGGAGGATATCCTCAAATTCCTTGCATTTCCAGATGGAAGAGTATATATTCTAAAAAAGAAAATCAATGGCATATACTTCATAAGTCTGAAGAAGACCTGGGAGAAGATTTTACTGGCAGTTTATGCCATTGTTGCTATTGAAAACCTGCTGCCATCAGTGTCATATCCTCCAGGAATAATGGCCCGCTGGCTGTGCTGAGTTTGCCATTGCAACTCCTATTGGTGCTTCACTCCTGGGACTGCACTAATCAGATCCAGACAGCCTTGTGGAATCCACCTATTCTGATAGTTACTGATTCCAGGGCCTACCCCCAGCTTCTCACAGAACATCTTATGTCAACCTGCCTACCATTGCTCTGAATGGACAGATTCTCCTCCATATTTTGTGGACATTGCCATTCTGCACAATAACAAGGGTGCTGACTCTGTGGTCTGATGTGGTGGATGCTGGCCCAAGAATTTCTGCTCACATGTGACAACATCCTCAATGAACACCCATGGGAGGTCATGCCTGATCTGTACTTGTACAGAAATCCTGAAGAGATCGAAAAGGGCGAGCAGGCCACTGCTGGAAAAGCTGTGGCTAAGGAGGAATTTCATGGTACCTGGACAACTTCGGCTCCTGAGTTCACTGAAGCCCAACCTGAGGTCACAGACTGGTCTGGAGGCATGCAAGGTGCCCTTTGTGCCTATTCAGCAGTTCTCTGCTGAAGACATGAGCACCAAGCTAGTCCACAGCTCCTACTGTTTGGGACATGAAGTGGGTAAGAACCACCACCAAGTGGACTTGAGCTGTTCTTCTTCAGACACTTAAGCAAAATGGAAATAAGGGTATGGAAAATAAACACCAGTTTCTAAAAGAAATTTAAAGAAAAGTAATTGCTGTTTCTCACTAGGGTGCCTATTCTTTCCCTACACTAAGAGACAAAATATGTTCTCAGCAGAGGCTGGACCTTCTGCCTGAGTCCTAGAATAAGAAGGCATGTGAGTCAAAGCTTCAACCAAATACAGGAGTTGACCTTATAATGTAAGAAAAAGCCATTGGAAATTAGGGTTTTTTTGTTACCTACTTTACTTCTGCAGTGTCTGATCAAAGAATGATGATACTCTGAAATACAAGTGGTATGGTATCCACTTCTGCACTTCTCACATCAAGTAATGGAAAACAGTTTTCAATGTACAAAAGAGAATATATGAAACCTTTAGGTAAAATATTTGAGTAAGAACAGAGCATGGTTCTTAGTTGTGTTAAACAACTTTTTTGTTAAGGTGACTACAATACCTGAGCAAAACAACTTAAAGGAGAGAAGATTTACTTTGGCTCGCAATTCAGAGGTTTCAGATCATGGTCAGCTGGCTCCTTTGCTTTGGGCCTAAGGAGAGGCAGAATATCATGGAGGAAAGCTGCTTACTTCATGGCAGCCAAGAAGTGTGTGTGTGTGTGTGTGTGTGTGTGTGTGTGTGTGTGTGTGTGTGTGTAGGGAGCAGACAGAGACAGAGAGACAGAGAAGGGGAGGAGAGGAGCCTGGGGATAAGACACCAAAAGATAAAATTCCTTCAATTAGGTCCCACCTCCTATAGTTTCCACTACCTCTCCATAGTCCATTCTGCTGGGATGGATAATCCTTTGATGAGGTCAGTGTCCACAGGAGTCAGTCACCTCCTAAAAGCCCCGGCTCTGACCATTGCTGCATTGGGGCCTAAACCTTCAACATATGAGCCGTTGGGGACATTCCATATCCAAATCATAGCATGGTTTACAGGGTTTCCTTAAGTGAAAGTGATTGATAGATAAAATGATACTTTACCAATTTATTTCAAGCCCTAATTAGTGTTATCTTAAAGCTGCCAGCCAGTGTAACTCATAGAGCATGTGTCACACTGAATCATCATATGCAAATTAATGCCAGTGGCAATTTTCTTGTTATCAAATGGTTCCTTCAGGAAATAGTGTCCTTGTTATACTATGTTTCTTTTTTATTGTTGTTATTTGTAAAAACATGTATTTTATAGGACAGTTGAGAACACTCAAGCTGTAGA